ACTATAAACCTTAAAAAATTAGGTTGTAGTAACATTTCTGTGTGAAGTCTAGTTGCTGGTAGGTTGATTCCTCTACTGGTAAAAAATTGGAAATATAACTGAACAGTTTTTAGTTACAAACATAAAGGGAGAGAAAGGTTTTTTATCAAAGAAAATATATATAATTTAAAGTCAAAGGGGAACATACTTATATCCTAGGAAGAGATAGCTATTCTTAAAAATATTATAGGCAAAAATAAAATTTGTTATTTATCTAACAAAATAAATATGCTAGAACTTAAACTAGGGACCGTTCTATTGCCAAAGACCGAAAAAAAAAATACTTAAAATAACCTAGGTTTCTTGAATGCTTTGGGAAAGTTTGCATTTAAGGAGTGAGTAAAGGCTAATATTCTTAAAAAGCAGAATAGTTTATTAAAATGGCGTTGTAATGAAAAACACTAATTCTTTTATGTAAATTCATGGTTTGTCTTTAGGTAGCTATTTCCATTTTCTAAATTTTTAATTTGTTTAGTTTGGTACAAATCTGTATGAATATGTATTTTTCTCACCCTAAAACATTAGATTCTAGATTAAAAGGTCTCAGGCAAATAGAAATGTTAATTAAAAGTAAATGTATAGCCCTGGCTGGTTTGGCTCAGTGGTTGGAGCATCGGCCCGCGGATCAAGGAGTTATGGGTTCGATTCTAGTCAAGGTGCTGGCACACACCTAGGTTGCAGTTCAGTTCAGTCCCTGGCCCTGGTCAGTCTTGCGGAAGGTAGTCAATCTATGTGTTGCTCTCACATAGATGCCGCCGCTCCCCCCCCCCCCCCCATCTGAAGATAAAGGGGGGGAAAATGTCCTCCAGTGAGGATTTACAAAAAAAAAAATTTAAATGTGTAGATAAACTCAGTGAGTGTTTCCTTGTTCTGAACAGTAGCTTTGTTGCCTTTTTGTATAAAAAGGTGGTTGTGTATTTTATAAGATTGTTTAAGTTAAATTTGTCTCTTAAGACTATACAGTGTTAACTCAGCTTTATGAAAATAGCATAAAGTGAGCTGTTGTCTGCTTTGTCAATTATTTATGGCAACTCTAGGCTTTTCCTCATTATCATAAGTTTTTGTTTGTTTTTTTAATCCTCACCCAAGGATATTTTTCTATTTATCTTCATGTAGAGTGGGATGGAGAGAAAGGGAGAGAGAGAGAAACATCAACATTAGAGGGGCACATTAACTGGTTGCCTCCCGCATGACCCTGACCAGGGCCAGGGACAAACCGCAACTTAGGTACGTGCCTTGGCCGCAATCGAACCCACAACTCATTGGTTCGTGGGCCGACGCTCTACTGCTGAGCCAAACTGGCCAGGGCACATTATCGTAAGTTTTAAACCTGGAGAGAGAACATATATGGTCACCTAGCACAATCTTTATTACAGATTCAGGCAGCGCATCAACAAATACATGTTGATGCTATCTTGGTGCCAAGCCCCATTTTGTACCAGGGCTACAGAAATAAATACAACAAAATTTCTCTCCTGAAGGAGTTCATGTTCTAGTAGAAGGGAGAGATGGTAAACTATGTAGAAGATACTAGCTAATATAATAGATCTGTGTTAGGATACTCTGAACACAAATGAGACACAACAATACTTTTATATTTTAATGATAAAACTAAGACTACCTTTCAGTATAGCTTTTAAAATATAAATAAACCCAATAAATCATTCCCACTTTTACTTAGAGATTGAGGCAAATAATATTTAAAATGTTTAAATAACATGTAACATGCTTTGGAAGGCCATTTATATGGGGGTGGGTGATGCTCTGTTCTTAAAAATTGTGTGAAAATAGCCCTGGCCGTTGTGGCTGAGTTGGTTAAACAGTGCCTCGTGCACCAAAAAGTCACTGGTTTAATTCCTAGTCAGGGCACATACCCAGGTTGTGGGTTCGATCCTGTGCAGGAGGCAGGCAGCCTATTGATGTTTCTCTTTCACGTTGATGTTTATATTTTCCCCACTCCCTTCCCCTCTTTCTCTGAAGTCAATTTTTAAAACACATTAAAATACATACATACATACATATATAAATAGTGTGAAAATAGCATGCTGAAGACTAGCTTTCTTGACTTTGATTTTAATCCTTTCTGCATTCAGTCCTCCATGTTTGTGCTGTGTTGTTTTGTTTATTATTATTGGTTTTGTTTCCTTTTATTTTTAAAGCTAAAAGAACCTTGGAAGTTCTCTTTTTTCCCCTCATAACCAGCAAGGACTGCCAGGCTCACCCATAGAACTTTTACAAGTTCAACATATGCTTGGGCTTTACCAAGTTTATTAGATCTGGATTGTTCTTATGGAAAATAATGCAATAGTTAATAAATAATAATACATACAAGAATAATACAACTGTAAACCTACTTATGCTCACCCCTGTATGAATCTTAAACAGCAAAGCAGTCTGCTAGATTTATGTACCCTCCTTTAAAATGTTTTCCTTCAAAAATTAAAATGTCTTGGGCCATCTGACTTGATGGTCATAATTGATCAATACATCCTGAGGTTCATATTTTAGAGACTACTGCCCCTAGTTCTTGACCATTACAGTAGCATTTTTTATAAAAAGGCTGGTAGAGGAGTTCATTTTCAGTAAGCTTGTTAGTAATACGCAGCTTTTTTTGAAGCATGAAGATTAATGAATGTTTAGTTTCTAGAATTCGAAATGAAGATTTACAATTACATTTAAATGTTTAGTGTGCTTGAAACATATACATCAAAGTAACAGTCTTAAATCAGTTACATATTATACATATGAGTTTAAATCTTCAGTTAATGCATATGAATGGGAAATTAAAGATGTTTTAGCAATTTTATTTTTCTAGTTAAACTGATTTTATTGCTTGGGTAAATAGATGTTTTATGCAACTAGGTCATAGGCTTTGGATGGCTCCTATATCCAATTGGTGGGAGGACTCTTTTGGTCTTATAATATTGAACCAAATGGTGACTACCACTCTCGATCAGAATCAGATGGAATTTAACATACTTATTCTTGTGTTCCTCTCAAGTTGAGTTTGAACAGCAACAGCTTTCTTGATTAAATGGTAGCGATCCTTAGGAAGATCAGAAGCAAGTCCTTTGGACTAAAGAATTCTCAAGATTTTATTGCCTGTCAGAAAATGTACTTGTGCAAAATCATGTGAGTGTCTCAGGATCACACTGATTTGTGAGGAAGTCAGGCCCTTCTTGGCCAGTTTGTAGATCTGCTCCTTCACATTGTCAGATATTAACTTCAACCAGGTGGGAATGAATGCTGCAGCAGTAGGACAGAGCCCACTGAGACAGGCCCCTTACTTGGAGCATGCATGCGACCAATGATGGCAATGGACAGGCAGTGAAAAATACTGTAAATTTTCATATTTAGTCTTTAGAGTAATATTGTTCAAAGAATATGTGTGAACATCTTGAATAGTCCAGTCTTAATGTTGTTACTCATAATAAGGTCTCTGTTTCTAATGCTCTTTTTCCTCCATGAAAGTCATTGTGTTAGTAAAATTCCATGATACGAAAATACGAGTTTGTGTTCATTTTCCTTTTGGTGGATATTTGGGTTTTCTAGTTTTATACTAAAATAAAACAGCCTTGGCCAGTTTGGCTCAGTGGTAGAGGATCAGCCTGTGGACCAATGAGTCACAGGTTCTATTCCAGTCAAGGGCACGTACCTCGATTGCAATTAGGTTTGGCATTGCGGTTCGTCCTCAGCCCTGGTCAGTGTAGGACCATGCTGGAGGCAACCAGTCCATGTGTCCCTCTCATGTTGATGTTTCTCCTCTCTCTCCCTTTCTCTCCCTCCTTCCCTCTCCCTCCTTCCCTCTCCCTCCCACTCTATCTGAAGATAGAGGAATATCCTCAGGTGAGGATTTAAAAAATAAAATAAACGTAATACTGTGATAAAAATTTTGACTGTTTATCCTGATTTACATAGAGTTTCTCTAAGGATCTATACCTATGGGTAATTAGTGAGTCATAAAATGTGTGCAGCTCCAGTTTTTCTAGATAACACCTAGTGATTATTTTCCATTGTAGTTATATCAGTTTATAGTCTTCACCAGAAATATGAAGTGTTCCTGTTATTCTTGCCAACATTTAATATTGTCAGGCTTTTAAATTTTTGTCAATTTGATGAATTTGCCCAGTTGCTTTTAATTTGTATATTTCTGGTTATCAGTGAAGTTGAGCATCTTTTGCAGTTTTTTACTAAAGCCATTTAAGTTTTTTCTGTGAAATGTCATTTCATGTCTTTTGTTTGATTTTCTGTTTTGTAGTTTGTCCTTTTTGATCTATAGGAGTTTCTTAAAATATTTTGGTTACCAGTACTTTTGATGTAATTGTTTTTCTTTTTGTAAATTTCTGTATCCCGTTGTCAAAGATATCTTCCTATATTTTTCTCTACTAGTAAGTTTTTATATCTGGCAATTTAGGCCACTAGTTGTATTCTTGGTCATATCCTTAGCCCATTTTGGGGTGGTGCCTATCCTGATTTGTATTAAGGCCATTGTTATGTTTACTTAGGTTGTTTTTGTGGTCATAAATATTTTCACCTTAAATTATTTCATCAGACATATAACATTAAGTCCTGGATAATTGTGTTGTCCCTTTATCCTAATGGAAGCTTACTTGAATGTGTAGTTAATACACAAATGTGTTTGAGACATCATTATTAATAAACAGTGTGGTACTTTTGGAATCAGATGTGGGTATGGTTGAATCAATGCTTTACCAGATTTTGTGACTTCCAGCAAGTTATGTAATCTTTTTCGTTTTCTCACTGATGAAATCAGGACATAAAAATACCTACCTCATTATCTAGTTAAGTCATATTTACTGAACCTTTTCTGTATGCTAACTTGTAAAGATTAAATGACATTATTTGGGTTGGGTGCCTGGCATATGAAGGTTACTTGATATTGGTTCTAGTTTCCTCTATTCAAGTAATTTTTTTAGCCTTGCTATCTCCTGTTTATTTAGAATCTACATCAGTGGACAAATCTGTATCACATTCTTGCACAACTCCTTCCACGTCGTCTTCTGGACTGAATCCCACATCTGCACCTCCAACATCTGCTTCAGCAATCCCTGTTTCTCCTGTTCCACAGTCACCAATACCTCCATTACTTCAGGATCCAAATCTTCTTAGACAGTTGCTTCCTGCTTTGCAAGCTACACTGCAACTTAATAATTCTAATGTGGACATATCCAAAATAAATGAAGGTAAATTTTCATACTAATAATTTTTTAAAACCCACTTGCATTGTGTAAAATTATGTAATTAGTAAAATCCTCATTTTAGGAATGATCTTTGTTTCATTTTGATTTCGCATTTGCACTTCATTATTTGGAATTTATAACTACCATAGTTTAGTGCCTTTGGTATTGTAATTGAGTTAGCAGTTGGATTTTCTGTGTATTTTTCAAGACTTAACCATACACCTACTTGGTAGTTACTGGAGATAAGCTGTTATGTCTGCAAACGCATATGGCAGACTGTTTTTTTGTTTGTTTTTTTAAGTAAATGCTCACTTTTTTTAAAAAGACCTCCTGTATATGGGTAAATAATTATTTGGAATGTTAAATATACTAATTACTTGAAAAGTAAGAATTCCGGTAACTCCTTCCTACAGTATTTGAAAAAATTTGAGGAGCGAGGTGATGGATAACAAAACATTTTGCTCTTTTTCCTAGTTAATGGCATTGTTAATTCCAACTTTGCTTTTCAGTATACTGAAGTTTTTAGGCATGATCTCAAAGAAGTCTTAATAAAAGTATATGTACTTTTAATTTGTAAACCAATTCAGATTCAGACATTAAGTCCTAAGAACATTGCAGAATTTTCTATTTCTGTACATTTTTACATAATATATTTAACAATAATGTTACGTGGTTACGTTTTTACTTTATCTTTAAAATGGAGCTATGTCAGGGTAGTTGGTCATTAATCTTCTGTTCTACTTGGCCTCAACTTTTCTGTATTTTGATTTTATTCTCTTAAGGTAACGATGCCATTCTCTTGTTTGATAGGTGAACTTTTTACTAGGCAGAGTGGAGCTTTTAAACAGTTTGAAGAAATGATGGCATTAAAAAATGTCAATAATAAAAGCTCTTGTTGCTTCAGAAAATACGGCTTTTCTAAGTGTCCAGCTTTTTAATATCCACTTTTAAAAGATTGTTAGAGTGGGTGTTGATGTAGGGTTTGAGTGGTCAGCTTGTCTGAAAAAGCAATCTCATTAAATAGCTAGCATTTATCCAGTTAATTCTGACTAATGTACTAAGCACTTTATCTGTGTGTGGATAGGTTTGTGTCATCATTGGAAGTTTCAGCGAATATTCATTTTACTGTTTTTAAGTCTCATAGAGGAGTTTTATTGAACTGAATACCTGAATTTTAGTGTAAAGGAAACTCTTTTTCTTTATTATAGACCCATTAAATTTTTTGTCCTCTGCCTCAGACCCATCTTATTACTCCTATGTAATACTTTTATTTTGAGAGTTCTAACCTGAAACACTCCAGTTTTTTTCTGGGTTCTTTTTTAATTTCAAGTGTTTACTAATGCCACATTTGCCTCTGTTTTATTTGAATTTAAGATATAATATGTTTTTAGTTCTTACAGCAGCTGTGACACAAGCCTCGTTACAGTCTATAATTCATAAGTTTCTTACTGCTGGACCATCAGCTTTCAACATAACTTCTTTGATTTCTCAAGCTGCTCAGCTCTCTACACAAGGTATTCACATTCTTAGATATCTTTAGCTTTGTATCTTGACTTGGGATTATTTTTTTAGTCTTTGAGCTGATTGCTACAATAACGGTGTTATTTTATGCTTGATTTTTTTTCATTACTATATTATACAGTATTTGTATTTCCTCTTTTAGATGAAGCAAGCTTTGACATCACAATATTGCCATCAAATCTGTAATATAGTATATATTTCATGCTGAATTTGTTTATGAGATCATTTATTCCAAAGCTGAAAGTAAATTATGATATGCCCTCAATCTTTGTGAAATATTGAGTGTATTTTAACAGTTGAAGTTTGGTTCAGGTTGATGTTAGATGGTTTTTTTATTAGAGGATATGGATGCAGAAATGCTCAAGTCCTGCCTTGAAATAGATATTCCTTTTCTTTATGAAGTTATTCAATGGAAAGAGATACAGAAACAAAAGAGAAATGAAAGGGTTACTTTGACTTCTTTCTTGGCCCCAGGTCAGAAAGCTGGTAAGTTGAGCAGGAATAACTGGTCTAAAATTGAAATGTAGTAGTGGAAAGACTTTGACAGCCCTCTAGTTAACCTCATAAGGCAGGAGACTATAGGGAAAACTGGGTTTAAATGTGGAAGAAGAAATAAGGATTCTGAGGTTGCCTTCCATGTGAGAATAGGTCCAGGGTTACCTTCTTGTTCTAGCCTTAGAGAAGGCGACACTGGGTATGTGCTTATCTGTAACACACAGCTCATTTATTCAGTGTGGCCCCAGTGAATATCTCACATTCTGACTTTTTCAGATTTGTGTTTTCTTGGGGAGAGAGGGATTGCATGTAGAGAGGTGCTTATTACAGATGTTTTTTGTTTGTTTGAAATTTACTGCTTTGTTCTTTTGCAGCCCAGCCATCTAATCAGTCTCCAATGTCTTTAACGTCTGATGCATCATCCCCAAGATCCTATGTGTCTCCAAGAATAAGCACACCTCAAACTAATACAGTCCCTATCAAACCTTTGATTAGTACTCCTCCTGTTTCATCACAACCAAAGGTATGTCACCTTTGAGGGAAATTTTAAAAAGAAACCACTTATTTTTGGAAAAACAAGTTTAATAATGTTTTAGAATCTGTATTAATAGAAAAAGCTCTATGAGAATGAAGTGGAGTGAATGACAGGTAAGTACAAATAGATGCAGGTTACGGTCTCTTAATTGGCCAATGAGGAGAGAGTTGTATTTGTGCTACTTTTATGCACTGATTCTTCTCTTTGTTGGCTTTGGGATTTGTGACATTGGAGAGCAGGCTAAAGAAGGGTATACTAATTGAGTCTTAATATTTGTAGAATTTTCAAACCCCTAAAGATAAGAGAAAGCATGTTTTCTTTGTCTGCCTCCATCCCATACTTTTATTTCAGACTCAGTTTCTGTACTAAGAGCTTTATATGTATTATTTAATTTTCACATCATGAGAATCAACTATTTGTCTCAATTAAAAGATAAGAAAATTAAGCCTTTGGTTAAATCTAGTTTTTTAGTGGAGTAAGAATTTGAGACCTGGGTCTTTTTGAATACAGACCCATTTTACTGAGCTATACTGCTTGTGTTGGTCCAAGCAAAATCTTACATGGATGACTTGGAGCAATTAAAAAATTGTTGGTCTGTTCTTTTTAGCTATGAACAGGACCCTGCAATGTTGCAGTCAAATTTTGTACTACATCATTTAGATCCTACCTACAAATTCATAAGCAAATCACAATTACACTTATGCTTTGCTTTGTAAGTAGCATTCCACCAGTAAAACACAGAGAGAGCTGGAAGTCAATATATATAAATTGTGACTTTAACTTTTAATGGTAATTGTAGGAGAAAATTTTTTTTAGTTGTTATAAAAACTATGGGCTATTTCAAAATTTTGTGCCAATGAATTCTTTATTCAAATAAAATCATAAGCAGAAACCTAAATATAAAAGTGCATTGTGAAACATAGCTTGAAATTGATGGTAGGTCAAATTTTAGATCTTCTATTGGCTCATCCCTTCCCTGCTTCAACCATTTATCTATGCATGTTTTAGGGTCAATCTAGTTCAGTTTTTAAAAATTTGTGTTACAGTTGTTAGTCCATTATGTGATTCCTTATTGTTTATATTTTGATAGAATGGAAGAGGGAGAGAAACATCAATGTGAGAGAGAGACATCAGTTGGTTGCCTCTTGCATGACCCTGAGCAGGGCTGGAATTGAACCTGAGACTCTGGTCCGTGGGCCGACACTCGAACTGCTGAACCCAGCGCCCAGGATGATAATCTTAAGACTACAACAAATAATGACTAAAAGTGAAATAAGCTGTAGTATTAGTGTTACAGTCAGTTGTCAAAATTAGCATTTTAAATCTCTTACCAGTTTTTTGCATTCAAAAAACTACTCTCAAGTTATTTCTAATAAAATTAGTGGACATTTGATAGTACATAGATCTTATAAAAATGTTCTTTTATATTCAGAAGTAGCAGGGCCATCCCGATTTGTTTGGGAGAATATTAATCATTCAAAAAACCCCAAACAAAAATCTCTTTGCTAGCGGATGTGACTTAATCACAAATGACTCCATCTTCCTTTGTGCCTTAATTTGGGGCTTATATTTAAAATTGCCTGTTTTCTCTCTCTGGCATCTGAATATGAATATGAATAGTATATGTATCCCCACTGGCAACCATGTCTCTCTTGGTCTATCTCCATAGGGCAGCATCTCTTTGGTGACCATTTAAGTTGAATTTTGTGTGGGCCATAGCTCATTCTTTGATAGACTAATATATACTTTGTCTTCATATGTGGTTGAAATTTAAGCAACTGTATTTATATCATGTAACATTTCTTTTTATTGGTTTGGAAGTAATAGTATAGTCCTGCTCCACTTAACAATGAGAATATATTCTCAGAGATGTGTCAGGCGATTTCACTGTGTGAACATCAGAGTGCACTTACACAAACCTAGGTGGTATGGTCTACTACACACATAGGAGAGGAAAAATAATTTTTCCTGTACCCTTTGGGCTTTTTGACTTGGACGTCCTGTAATAAAGATTAGCAAGAAAAAACAAAAATTTAATAACATGTATACCTCCAGTATACATGGGAAAGACCCAGGAAAACTGAGTAACTGATGCCACCACCTTAAATACCATCTTCAGCTGAAGACAAAAGAAGTTGTTGGGAGTGAGGGGAGTCAGTTATGGGATGTTACCAGAAAAAGCACATTAAACGGGTAAGGTGGTTATGCAGATTTAAGTTCTTGCTTTTGCACTGATAAGAGTTTCTGTACATATGGTCATCCTCCTCTTTTTGGTACACTGAGGGAGAGAGAGCCTTACAAATGGAGATTTCCCTTGCAAATATAAATGTCTTATACAAAGGGTAACTTCTACTTGGTTTTCAAAATTTCTCCCATGTCTTCTGTTTCTTAAAGTTAATTAGCCTAAAATAAGCCTCATGCCAGATAGACATATTTTGTGGTGACAAATTCTGATCCTCTACAGTTTCTAGGCTACAAAACCAGTATAGCATGTTACTGTACTAAATACTCCAGCAATTGTAACACAATGGTAAATACTCGGCATTAGGAATTTTTCAGATTATAATCTTATGGGACCTCTGTAGTATATGCACCTTCCTTGACTAGAAGTTTATGTGGCACATTACTGTAAATCAGAAGAGGTATTAGAATGTCTTGGGAAGAAAACTGGACTCAAAATCAGGAGAACTTATTTCTTATGTTGGTGTACTAAGAAAGTTAATCTTACGACCTTGTGCCATTTTACTGTATAAAGAAATTAGATCCAAGTCTCAAACCTTACTCTCTTCTAACTACATGACCTTTGGAAACCCATTCTGCTTTTTTGAATCTCTAGAATTTTACTTAGATTTGGAGGATATGTGAATTTGGGCACCTAAATGACAAGGACTATATACTATATACAACTAAGCTGTTTGCTGCCACTGCCCTGTTTGCCCCCCACCCCCAGTTATCCAGTTTCAATTGTCCACAGTCAGCTACCATTCAGAAACATTTAAATGGGGCTTTAGATGGTTAGAGCATCATCCCGACACACCAAGGTTGTGGGTTTGATCCCTGGTCAAGGCACATACAAGAATCAACCAATGAATGCATAGCATAAATAAATGTAACAACAAATTGATGATTCTCTCTCTCCCTCTCCCCCTCTCTCCCTTCCTTCTTACTTTCTTCCCTCCCTCCTTCCCTCCTTCTCTCTCTCCACCCCCTTCCTTTCTCTCGAATCAATAAAAAATAAAAACAAAAATATTATATGTAAAATTCCAGGAATAAACAATTCATAAGTTAAATTTTATGCCATTCTGAATGCCCTGAAGAAATCTTGAACTATCCTGCTTCATCCCGCCCTGCACTTATAATCTTTGTCCAATATATCTATGCTTTATAAGCTGTCTGCCCATTTAGTCACTTAGTAGCCATTTTGGATATCAGAGAGAGAGCACATTCCCAAACTTTTATTACAGTATATTATAATTGTTCTGTTTTATTAGTTATTAATCTCCCTCTTGCCTAATTTATAAGTTAAATTTTAGTACAGATATGTATGTATAGGAAAAAACAGTATATGCAGTTCTAACTTCTTGCTTAATGCTGTATATTGGTTCTGTGACTTTAAGCAAAGCACCATATAATGAAACTACTTTTACTGTTGGCTGATAAGTTCAGTTTCTGTCAACTTTATAATGAAACGATGTTGAACAACATGACATTATTTGAGAACCTGCTATATATAGGGTTTAGTACCATCTGGTTTTCAGACCTCCATTGGGGGGGCGGGTCTAAGAATATATCCCCAGAGGATAGGTGGAGGGACTATTGTCTGTCTGTATCACTAATATTAATCTCATTATGAAACAATTTAGGGCAACTCTTGTTATCTTAAAAATCACTGAAGAATAAAAGTAGTAGGGAAGTTTTATTGATAGAACTTTTGCTTTGATTTAGTTTCCATGACATTTGCCATTGTAATAAGCCAGATTTTGACATTTCAGGTTACTACTCCAGTAGTTAAGCAAGGACCAGTTTCACAATCCGCTACACAGCAGCAGCCTGTCACTGCTGACAAACCACAAGGTCATGAACCTGTCTCTCCTCGAAGTCTTCAGCGCTCAAAGTAAGTTGATGTTACATGTTGAGGCAACATTACTTTTTCCTTACTATGTCATACTTCATTGTTTGAATATTATAAATAATGTATGTATAATAGAACTTGATCTTGGAAGAATCCATGGATAGCCTAACTTAGTTTTATGTATTGCAAAATTTATGAAGGCAAACCTGGAGCAAGTAGATTGTCTCTAGTAGTGAAGCCTGGGTTATTTTGAGGAAAGTGGTTCTTTTCTTTAAAATTTAACTTAGTAGATATAATGACAGGAATAACTGTGATACTTGTACAAATAGGGCAAGTGGTTTTGTAATATTTTATTTATTGGAAATGAGACATCATTTTTAACCTCCTCATAGCAGTTTTAGGTTTGAGTGTATTGATGAAGCCAAAAATCTCACATCTAAAACTTGGGCCAATTTTGCCAGCTGGTGTATGTTAGTCAGGCTTTCCTCTTAGCTTCTACTCTGCTCCTATAAGGATTTACTTATCATTCAGAGATGTAGTGTGTTGTCACTTTTCTTTGTTAATGAACAAATACAACTTAAAATTTTTTTTTTGATTGATTTTCCTATTTTTATTTCTTGCTATGAGGTGGCAAAATAATTCAACTGTTGTTTTTATTGTTTTCTAAACAAGCATTTCAGAACTTACACATCCAAATGAGAGTTGTTCCCTTCAAAATAATCACCTTGGAATGCTGTCTACTTATTCCAGCAATGTTGCCATTGCTCAGAACATTTTGGGGAGATTCTTCTTTTAAATTGTCTTTAGAGGCTGCAGTATTATTTTAAGTATCCTCAGTGATGAAAACTCTTCATCTTTTGGGAGATTTAGTTTTTGGAAATAACTGAAATTCAGAGCCAAGTCTGGTGAAGCAGGTAGGAAATCAACTTGGGTGATTAAATGTTTGGTTCTCGCCACCATATCCCCAAACCCTAGACTAAATCATACAGTTTTAAAAGAAGATAACCAATCTCAGAGTGTTATTTTTGGGGGTCTTATTTTGCCACTAAACTCATTCATTGCTATCCAACAGAATGCCTGTATTTTGCTTCTAATTCTTTCACCCTCTGATTCAAAACTTTGTTCTGATGTTAAACAAGAGCAATATATTTTTTCCCCTCCTTATCTACATATATTTAAAACATAGTATTCAGATGTGCCTTGTATCGACAGTTGCTAAAATTGTGCCCTGGCTGGTGTAGCTCAGTATTTAGGGCATTGGCCCTGGCACCAACGGTCGTGGGTTTGATTTCTGGCCCTGGTCAGGGTGCAAGTGGAAGGTAACCAATCGATGTCTTTCTCTCTCTCTTTTTCTCCCTCCCTCCCTTCCACTCTCTGAAAATTGATGGAAAAAATATCCTTGGGTGAGGATTAACAACAACAAAAAAATGTGACCATTTCTTAGTGACATTTGTAGTAGACAAAGTCAACAGGTTCTGCTGTCAAATTTGGAGAGTACTATTATATTGAATTTGACTCTGACATTAGTTTTAAAATGGCTTCCCCCCCCCCCCCAAAAGTGTATTGAGGAATACATGATATAAGTGTACTTTGAATTTTAAATTATATTTACTTAATGTTAAACTAACAAATTTTTCTTAGGTGTCAATAGAAGGTATTGACAGGCAATATCTAGGATACCTAGAAACTACTTGTAAATATGCTACACATTCAATTGTGTTTTCTCTTCCAGTAGCCAGAGAAGTCCATCACCTGGTCCAAATCATACTTCTGGTGGTAATGCATCAAATGTAACAGTTGTACCACAGAATTCATCTACCCGAACTACATGTTCATTAACACCTACGCTAGCAGCACACTTCAATGAAAATCTCATAAAACATGTTCAAGGATGGCCTGCAGATCATGCAGAAAAGCAGGTATGTTACATGCATGATTCACAGCAGTTGTTTTACCTTGGGATGACTAAAAAAGATTAACTTAAATTCTACTTTAAAAAAATCTAATCTGGACCATGAAATTCAAGCTATATTTAAAACAAACTAATTTAGGTTGTCTAGTTATTTTATAAAATATTTGATATATACTTACCTATAGGGTATTTTTGAGGTCACTTTTGTGGTTTCACATAAAGTATTTTAATATCATTACAGCTACCATTATCAAGTACTCAGCATTTAGTTCTGTGCCAAGTGCTTTGATTATTTTCTCCACTTAAAACTGCTAATAAGTGCACATAATGAGTTTTCCCATTTTATCAATAAGGCTCTTAAGACCAAATAAATTATACCAAGTTCACTCTATTAATACAGTGGTATGGCTCACAGCCAGTGTGCTTTTCCTTTCATCCAGTCATTCTGATAGTTTTAGAACCTGTTAGTACTGTTAATCTTATGACTGTCCCACTAGACTAAGCTATTAGAAGTTAAGAGACATTTTTGTTTTAGGATGAAGGCTCTTAGGACATTGAAATTATTGCATTGGCTTCTCCTTTTATCAGTGTTATACCTGAACTTTTCCTTTGGCTGACCCAGCATCTTTTGTTAATGGCAAATCATTCATCCATCCTATCCTAGTGCTATACTATTCTGAGATTGGCAATACTGTTTTCTCAAGAAGCCTGAGGTGTAAATCTTAAAATAAGTACTTTGCACCATATATGAGACAGTTTAGTTTTTATTTTTTAAAGAAAATAATTTTCCCCCTTAGATTCACCAGAATTTTTGTGGGTTTAAAGGAAAATGATTATTCTATAATATAAAGTTCTAAAATATTTAATGTTATGTGTGACTTATATTTTATGGGTTTTTTTTTTTTTTTATAATTATAGGCATCGAGATTGCGAGAAGAAGCCCATAACATGGGGAGCGTTCACATGTCAGAAATTTGTACTGAATTAAAAAATTTAAGATCTTTAGTCCGAGTATGTGAAATTCAAGCAACTTTGAGAGAGCAAAGGTAAGTTTTTCGCTGAAATAATTTTTGTTTATCTTAAGTCAGATTGAAGAACATAACTTTGAATTTTAGAAATGTAATTTTTTTAGATAAATTGTATCATGTTTCATAATACTATAACATGTTTTTATTTAATGTTATTTCTGGTGAATGCTAATAGCATCTAAATTTTATTTTTCTTAACCCATGGGAAATGTTTTAATAGACTTTTTTTCTTGCGTTATAACTCAATAAGGTATAGTAATACATTATTTAAAAAGTGAAATTAGATAGCAACTAGTTATGAAGGGTCACTCTTGAATTGAGGAGCATATCAAATTGAGGGCGTTTATCTATTGCCCAAGGTACGTACTTCAGTTGAAATTTCAAATCACTATTTACATTATGCTTGTATCACCAATAGATCATTGCAAATTATAGTAAGATAATTTTTTAGCAGGTTCAATGATGTATATCTGTTTTCACCTAAACTCTTACTGTTTGGTTTTTTTTTAAATCAAGTATTCTACTCAGGTAGTATAGTATATCTACATCTGCTAAATAGTATAGATATTTTTTAAACACGTCACAAAGTTGAGAACAAACTTCAAATGGCTTTACATCCTGTCTACTATATATATAAGCTTGTCATGAAACCACAAATGTGTCTGTGGTATTTGGCTCCATTTTTATGAACTTACAATTATATTGAGTGCTATTCTTCAAAACGATTAGCCTCTTGCACCTAGTTAATTTCATAATTACTATGCTTACTATATTGTAGTCCAGAAAATATGCAATATAGGTTATCTCATGTTCAGTATCTACTGCCTTTGTATATGTGTGATGATAGAGTAAACACTATATTTTAAATCAGTCTTCATATTCAGATTAATTATTGAGAAACTGAAAACTAGAAAACATTTAAACTTGTTATTCTTATGTAATATATATCATATATTCAATGATTGTTTTGTTTGAACTGTAGACTAAGCAGTTTTTAATCATTTTGTTTTAACTAGTAGCTATTCATTTTCTTTAAGACATTTTGTTGTTAAAAGTTTGGGTTTTTTGTAGCATTTATATGACCACACAGTTCTAATGCCTTCTTATTCTTTCAGGATACTATTTTTGAGACAACAAATTAAGGAACTCGAAAAGCTAAAAAATCAGAATTCCTTCATGGTGTGAAGATGTGAATAATTGCACATGGTTTTGAGTACAGGAACTGTAAATCTATTGCCCAATCTTAACATTTTTGATCTGCATTTAAGTAGACTTTGGACCGTTAAGCTGGGCAGAGGAAATGACAAGGGGACGGGGGTCTGTGAGAGTTAATTCAGGGGAAAGAGACAAGACTGATTTGTAAAACCCTTGAAATGTAGATTTAATGTAGATGTATTCTTCACGTTGTAAATATGTTTTGTAGAGTGAAGCCATGGGAAGCCATGTGTAACAGAGCTTAGACATCCAAAACTAATCAATGCTGAAGTGGCTAAATACCTAGCCTTTTACATGTAAACCTGTCTGCAAAATTAGCTTTTTTAAGGAAAAAAAAAAATGGGGGGGGTTTAATTTATCATTCAGAAATCTTTGCATTTTCAAAAATTCAGTGCAAGCGCCGGGCGATGTGTGTCTAAGGAGATACAATTTTGAACTATATAGGTGGTGTACAAAATATCATGAAACAACTGTTTCCACACTTGCACCTGATCAAGAGCAGTGCTTCTCCGTTTGTTTGCAGAGAAATGTTTTTTCATTTCCCGTGTGTTCCATTTCCCTCTGAAATACTTGATCTGATTTTATCCATTTTTGTAAGGCTCCTCTCTTTTTTCTCCTTTCTTAAGGCACTGTTGCTATGGCACTTTTCTATAACCTTTTCATTCCTGTGTACAGTAGCTTAAAATTGCAGTGATTGAGCATAACCCACTTGTTTGTATAAATTATTGAAATCCATTTGCACCCTGTAAGAATGGAATGGACCTAAAAGTACTGCTGGGCGTGTGTGCTGAAAGTACATTGATTGCTCAAATGTAAGGAAATGGCCCAATGAACATGGTTGTGGGAGGGAAAAGAGGAAACAAAGCTAGTCAGATGTGAATTGTATCTGTTGTAATAAACATGTTAAAACAAATAAAATGTTATTTTTCTTTTCCTTTGGTCAAATGCATATTAGAATTTGAACTACCTGGGGATTCTTTATCAGAACTATTCTTGTTGAATATTTCTACTTAATTGAAATAAGTCCTTAAAAAGGGGAGGTTTCATTTAAAGCAGATTAACAGGAAATGTGTATAAGATATTTAATGAAATATGAAATTCAACAAGAATGATTAAGTCACTTCCCAAGTGGTTGTCATTTGTTAAATCCTGGTTTACCTGTCTTGCTATTATAACATTTCATTTTGAAGGATGTTTGTGTTGTAGCTAACTGTTCAAGTCTGGTGCTGACTGCTGTTCTTAGCCATCACAAAACGCTAAATTTGTGTAATTGGAGCTTCCTACTGTTAGCTGGAAATGGTGGAGAAGCTCGGCTTTGTATATTGTTTTCCTAAAGTATATTAAAATAAAAAAAGAAACTATTGCTACTATAAAATTACCTTGGCTTTTTTTTTTTCTTTGCTAAAATATTGGTCACCTGGCCTTAGCATGACACTGCCAGTATTATATTAAATCACAAGGGTTTCTTTATGCAGAAAAATCTTAATTTTAAAATTTTACCCAATTTTAGAGCCTTCTTTTCCTGTTGAGGCAGATGTATTCATATGCTTTCAGAGAACTGCCAGCACCAAGGGCTTATTTTGTGATGTTAGACATTAATGTTATTACATTCTGGGATACTAAAATTTTGAAATTGCTCTTGTGCTTTAAGCATACTTAAAAGTATAGAAGATAATGCTCAGACTTTTCAACAAATTTTAAAAAGTAAACTGTAAGCGATAGTATGGATGATACTTTCTAAAATACAAAAATGTTCCAGTATAATTAAGAGGAATTTGAATCTTATACTGGAGACTGATTTTTTTTTTTTTTAATTGTAACTTGAGCATACTTTTAAAATGTAAGAAGAAACAAATGTCATAAGTTATATCATCATGAAATGTTTATACCTATGAGATTGTTAACATTTACTGGACTTGATTAGTGCATGTAAATGAAAATCCGAAGAGCTATGTTAAGCTAGAACCCTTATTGATGCAGTCCTGTATATTTCCCAGAAAGAAGTAAGCAATTTGTGATGTGGTAGATAAAGGTTTCCTGATTGGATGGTAACTCACATATAGAGAGAGAGAGAATGCCTGGTTTGAGATTTCCTGGTGAATTTTTAATCACAGAAAATTAAAAATTTTTGTAGACTATTTTTACAACTTGAATCACTCTATAGTAAGTTATTTTAAATATTGCACTTTAATACAGACATGGTGTCCAGTTACTAACCTTCTTGAGGTAACCAACCAGGACTGTTTATTAAAATAGGCATAATATCAGAGAATATTCTTTAGTTGGCCTATTGCCATGGCTTTGAATATACATCTCATTTTGGTGGGCACCTTGATTCAAATAATTTGAAAATGGAAATGTGAATAGCCCCTAGGAAACCTCAGGGTTTTTATTTTTGTTCAAAGGGACGAAATGTTCGAACTATGTTGTAATAAAATGTATTTCATGAGGTGGGTCTGTTAGAAAGTAAGTCTTTACCCTGAAGAACCAGCTTCCCTACTATTTTTCTTTTCTGTGTAGTTCAACTAACTATTATTTTTGAAACGGACTATATTTCCAGATTTTTAACACACTGAAAATTCCATGCTCCAGCCCTTTTTAAAGACATCATGCTTTTAATAGCCCTAATGAATGGTTTTCTCTTCTAATTTTATATGTTTCACACTTGTAAAATCTTGGACAGGAGGTGCTTAAAACTTTGCAAAGAATGAATTGTTACCCCATTTCAAAAATAATCTATTGTTCTGTTTAACAGCTTTAGCTTTAAGGGATTATCTCCCAGCGGCAGAGTGTAAAGTAAGTCACTCTGCAAATCAGAACTATTGTAGTTCTGATTTGGACTTAAATCAGGACTTGGCGCTACTGTATTTAGATGTGGGATTTGCATATACGGATTTCTTTTTAATACCTGTAAATACGGCTATATTCTTGTATTTGTACTGAAGTGTACAAAATGACACTAAAAAGTAATAAATATGTTTTGACTATATTGTGCTGTTATTTCAGAACAGTGTGTTTTGAAAGTCTTAGAATGCATAATTTGCATTTAAGAAAACCAAATACCAGATTACTGCTAGAATTTTAATAGCAGTTGTCATGTGTCAGTCGCAATATAATTAAATTGCAGTATTTTAATAAAAATTTTGGCTTAAAAGTTGGGATTCTTTAGATCCTGTTCTAATTTGCTGTACGCTTTTTTTTTTTTTTTCTTTCCTGATTTCTGAACTTTGGGAGTACTCTAAAATGCAGTTGCCTAGGTGATCTCATCCAGGCCCTTGACTTAAAAAAACCCATTTTAAGGTGGTTTTCATTCAAGTTATCTTTTTTCTTGAAATCTCGTTTGAGTTTGCAACAAGTCAGTTTAACATTGCAAAATTTTTATTTTTTACAAATCTTCACCCAAGCATATTCTTCCATTTATCTTCAAATAGAGTGTGAGGGGAAGAGAGAAACAGTGATGTGAGAGAGACATACCGATTGGCCGCCTCCTGCACGACCCAGATCAGGGCTAGAGACTGAACCGCAACTGAGGTTCATGCCCTTGCGGAATCGAACCCACGACTCTTTGGTCCATGGACCAACGCTCTCACCACTGAGCAAAACCGGTCAGGGCACATTGCAGATTCTTTAAAAAGCCCTTAAATTGTGCTTCAGACTTAATACTCTAGGGTCCCCATTTTCAGTAAGAGGCTCAAGATGCAAACAGAGGCGTCATCCTTTTTATTTCCTCTAACACCCTTATCTTATATTCCAGTGGTTCTCAATCTTCCTAATGCTGTGACCTTTTAATACAGTTCCTCATGTTGTGGTGACCCCCCCCCAACCATAAAATTATTTTTGTTGCTACTTCATAACTAATTTTGCTACTGTTATGTCTTAGGCGACCCCTGTGAAAGGGTCGTTCGATACCCAAAGGGGTCACAACCCACAGGTTGAGAGCCGCTGCATTCAAACCATAAAGATCCACGAGCTCTACCTTCAAAATATATTTGAATCTGTAGCTTCTCACTACCATTGTTTACCACTCCAGTCCACAATCATCTTTGAACCAGAATAATTGCCTTTCTCTTTGCTTCTACCCTTGACTCACCACCACCATCCCTGTACATACACAATCTATTCATACAGCCACCAGAATGAAGTGTAAATCACAATTTTTTATACTATGTTTCTATTGATTGTTTAGAGAGAGAGAAAGGAATAGAGAGAAAACATCAATAGTCTGCCTCTTGCACGCCCCCCACTGGGGATGGAGCCTAAAACCTTGGCATGTGCCCTGACCAGGAATCGAACCGGGACCTCTCAGTCCATGGGACAATGCTCAGTCCATTGAGCCACACCATTTGGGCTAAATCACATGATTTTCACAATCCAATAATTTAGTGCTCAGAAAAAAATCTAAAGTTTCTACTGTGGTTCATGTGTTTAAGCCCCTAAATTATATCACCACAATCTCATCTACTAGTTTCTCCCTTTTTCTTGTATTCCCCATCTTGGGTTTTTGTTTTTTGTTTTTTGTTTTTTCATTTTCTCCCTGCCTGTGAAGTTCTTTTCTTCAAGACTTGCATAGCTTGCTAACCATTCAGTTTCTTCTCACATGCCATCTCCAGAGAGGCCTTTTCCTGATTTCCCGCCTAAAAGGACACTGTCAATATTCCTTCACTGTAGTTTTCTTCAAAAGAACTGTAATACATAGTACTCCATAAATACTTGAATGAATGAAGTACAGAGTGTAAGAAAATTTACAAAGATTACTGAAAATTCAAATTTTGGTTTTGTCCTCTCACATTAGGAGATAGGAACAGCAACTAGCTTTTTTTTTCCTTTTAAGAAATTGTTGCATTTTACTATTGGTTACCAAAACCTAACTGCAAGTCTGTATTGTTAGCATTATGAAATGTGATCTCTCTAAGCAAGATTAATCAATGGAACCAGTAGTAACTAGAGCTCCCTGTGAACATATTTTAAGACTAAGTAAGCCACTGAGAAGCAAGATGCTACTTCTGTTATGATAAGCTTGGGGAGATGGACCAGCAGGACCTGGCCCTGCTTCTGAAGGGCACGATTGGGTGAGTCATGGGGCTGGGGACTATGTCCTGGTTTCACAAGGTAGGACACTTTGATAGTCCTATATCTTTGGTTCAGATAATGCCTTGATATCTAACCAGGCTCCTCTAATTTTTAGGACAGAGTAAAGCAGGAAACACTCTTGAATCGAGTTCTAAGATGTGTCATTAATAGAACATTTGATCTGCACATTTTCATCATAATGAAAATGGCTGAGATTGAGATTCTCTGCCTATGTGGAGATTAAAGATTGACAGGCAACACTTGATGTCATAGTATACTTCATAAACTTTTTTTTTTTTTTTTTAAATTTAAGGTGCCCATTAATTGCCCAATTTTTCTTGGTACGTGCCCCTAACGGGAATCGATCCCGGGACTCTGGTCCGCAGACCGATGCTCCAACCGCTGAGGCAAACCGGCCTGGGCTAATTGCCCAATTTGATCAGTCTTTGGGTATGTTAGAATACAATAAATTTTTTTAATCCCATTTAGGTGGTTTCAGGGTTATTAGCTGAGAAAGACAATTTTTATTGCTTGTGTATTTTATATCCCCTTCACCTAGAAAAGTCAGCACAAAGTGGGTGCTCATAGTTTTGCATGAAATAAGTATACATTTTAAATACTCACTTTGTAAAATTGCTCAATTTTATATTTAAGCTTAACCATTTCCAAAATACTATTCTTGTGTTAATCTTCACACAAGGGTATTTTTTCCATTGATATATTTTTTTTTTTTAAGAGTGGGAGCGATGGGGTGTAGAGACAGAAACATGGATGTAAGAGAGACACATCAATTAGATGCCTCCTTCATGTGCTCCCACCAGGGCCAGAGATGGAACCTGCAACTCGGGTACATGCCCTTGACCGGGAATCAAATCTGCAACCATTTGGTCTGCTGGCCAACACTGACCACTGAACCACATCAGCCAGAGCCAAAATACTTTTATTTTTTAAATCCTGATTAAAGAGCTCTAATTTTTAAAATGCCAATGCAGTCTCAGGCTAGATCTCTCTACACTTGTTTCACAAGCACAAGTGTTCCAAAGATACTAGGTAAAATACTGATAATGGACTGCAGGAAAGGCTAGTTGATATCACCCCATGCTTAACAAAAGTATAAAGAGCCAAAATATTCCTCCACAAACATAAAAATATGAAAGAAGTACAAACCTGTTCTATAATCTTTGAAAGGCAGTGGCTGGGGATGGGAAATAGAAAACTTTGTTGTAGTTTAGCCCACCCAGTCACCCCTGAGTTTGTGAGGGTCTAGTCAGAAAATGGAAGTCACCTAGGT